GAAAGCTGCTTTCCGGTTTCGCCATTCATCGAACCAACGACAAATACATTGCTTTTGAATCACGCGGCCATGGAAAACCATCGAATGACGTTTACAACCGTTATTCAACTCCTTCCGAGAAAAATTCGTCGTTATATTATTATCACGTTGTTCTCGGAACACAATGTTCTTGGTAACGATCATAATAAACAGTTGCTCGCAAAATTGGTTCATTGTCTTATCTCACCATATTAGGTCTCATCATGCGTTTCAAATTTCGTATGAATTCGTTGGAAGTCGTGAGCTCATTAACATTTATCTAATTATAAGTCGTGATTCTCTTTTATATCTCTTTCTTCTTATTATGTTTCTTGAATATAATCATTTATTTAATCCTTTCTCGTGCCATTTATTTAACAGATGCGTCAGTCAAGATTCAGGGCTATAACATTAAAACGAACAAGGAAAATTAAAATCTTGTAACTATTTTATATTCAGGGATCCTTGATAATGTAACTTATAGCTGGACCTAAATTTCAAGTTGAAGAGTATTCAAAATTTGAATAAGGTTTGTCACATTTGAGCTGCGAATCACGAGTCAGATTCGTTAAAGTACGGGAAGGGGTTAAATAATTTAAAATGATTGTCACAGTTATTTTCATTATTAGTGAACCGATTAAAAGTTATAGGTGGACATGAAGTGGTTTAATGCAACGATGTGGTTAACTACTTTATGTACTAAATTTTGTATTTAATTATTCTACGCATTTTAATTATTTACGAAGTAAAATGGGAAGTTTACGGCAAGTTCCAATAATGACTTCTTAACACCCAGACGTGTTTCTCTTAGAATCTGTAGATTCGTTACGTTGGATCTTTAGTGCAGTTACTATAACGAAAATAATGACTTTGAAAGACTTTAAGGAGAAAATCTACGAAAAACCTTGAAAGGTGATGAGATTTTGCCTTTTTAACAAATTTATTAAGATTACTTTCAACGTTTTCATGATTTACACTATAATTTTTTTGTTTGTTTCTGAAGTTGAATTTTCCTCAATGTTTATTAGTCGGTGAGCAAATAATTACAGAGCCGTACACAAAATGTTGACAGTGATCTTGAAAGTTTAGCAAAATAAAAGGCATGGCAGGAATCAAATATCATTACTAGACTGCAGATGATATATCGAAGCCTACAAAGTAGAAATAAGTGACATAAATTATAGTCCGTGGATTTCATAAATTATATGGTTTATGTATGACTGCAGACGTCGATATAAGTATTCGCAGTTAATCATCAGTTTGAAGATTCTTCAAAAATGTATCATTTATTATAAAAAGAGATTTTTATTAGTGCCTTGGTAATGAAAATAATTAACGCTGTTATTTCAAATGGTACATTCTGTATATTTTTTACTTCTTGCAAATCCTTGCAAGTATAACATGTATTTCTGTTCCTATGCTAAGTTAGTAAATCAAATTAATATCGAGATTTTTACGCGTAAACTAATTGAGCTAGAAATGTAGAAAGGTCTGATATTTAATAATATACAAATATAGACATATGTACAAATATATCATAAAAAATTTTGTCATAATGATCAGAGTTTAACGTTAGAATTTTGAGGTATGGACATTAAATAAATGATGATAATAATCTTTTAATGGACACTTTTGAGCAAAAAATTCAATTCGCAATTATTACTACCTTGACACTAATGTAACCTAATTATTAGATTCTTCACTTACAGTAAACTAAATTTCCAAAAATTGCGAACGCGATCTATTGTCGATGACAGAACATTGAATGATGAAACAGTATCCTCACATTGTCTGCATCAAGCTCTTATCACTTGTGAATGTTATATTCGAAATTTCTTCACATTTAGAAATGATTATTTACGTCAACAAACCGACTATGGGATACGATTAGTCAATTTTAATATATTTTAAAGTTTGACTACTTAATGCACGATTTTCAATGAATATTCAGAGTTTCTCTGAATGTACTTTATTGTGAGTAATGAATTTGAGATCTCCTTGACAATGTTATACTATTGATTGAAACTGACTGTATTATTTGGCTTTGAAGATGGGAACAGTAGTTCAAATAGCTTTGAGAGGCAGTACAATACGGATTTTAACTAATTAAATGAATAGCATACTGAGTATTTCAATTATATGTTAAGAAGAGAGGACATAATAATTATTAGATATAATTTTAATTATTAAATTTGTTATATTTTGTTTTCTCGTTATTTCACATAACAGTGTAATTAAAAAAAGGTACATGTAAAAATCAACTTTTAAATAAATATTTCATATAAATAAGGCGTACAGTTTAAGAGTACCGATCATTTTTTTTTTTGTACTCTTAGCAATCCTACGAAATGTATTCTATTTGTCTGAATTTATAAACTGTATTTCCAGACTGTATTTATAAACTGTATTTAAATAAAGAAATGATCAAAAAACTTGCTTTTTCGATAGAATATTTTGTTTTCGTAAATGACATATATTTAATTCCATAAAATTATTACTGAAATTGAAGCGGGCTTAACGACCTTGAAATGATCTGGAATTAAAATATATGTAGATATGAGCAAAAATAACGTTATTATAATTTATAATAACGTTATAAATTAATTGAGGTTAACTGACCTTCAGTTCATCAACCAGTTAAGTGTGTTTGACGACTATATCCGTCATGGAGATGTGGCAGAATTTTGTGTCATAACGACAATATCCATCATGCGTAAAATTTTGTTACAATTTGTTATTTAAACTGTAATTTTGGCGAAAACTAAATTATATTCGTAAATTGTAATATGTTTAAAATGTTTAGAGGCCAATATGAAATGAAATAAACAAATAAAAAGTGTAAATGATTTGAAATGGATTCATAAATTCTTGAGAGCTAACTCGTCATCGCTTGATTATCGCGACACACACTAGTGCGCGCTGCTCAAAAAGATCGCCACAGTTAACTGGTGAAACAAATCCAACGATAATAATAATACTGTTTCTACGCTATGCTAGTTTACCATTATTTATTTGTTAATTTTTCATGATTCCTCGGTATAATATTTACGAAACGTTATTATTGCTTTTGTTCCATAAACCTATTATTTTGATAGTGTCATATCTTAAATATGTAAGCTAGTTGAAATAAAATAAATTTTTGCGCTAATATTTTTGTGCTCAATTTTATAAATTCAAGGACACGTGAAGATCATAATATAATAAATTATTGAAAGTACAATACCACAGTGTTGTTGATCCTTGACGTTAACTACAACATTATCAAGTCAAAAATACATGTCGCCCTTTAGAAACAGCAATGCAACCTTGATTTGTTATTACACAAAGAAATATATCAAAAATGTTTTCATTGCGATTTGCAAACGAATTCAGAGACTGAATAACTGTTATTTCGAACATTTGTTTTGTGAAATTATTGAAATGCCACAAAAATTCTGAAACTATACATCCAGCGTGCATTGCATATTTATTAACAAATCGATTCTTCTATGTCTGATTTTTTAAAATTCCATATTTTTCAGTATCCTAATAGACTAGTACAAAAATTGTTAAGTTTTAATACAATAATATTAAAACATAAAAATTTCTGGTAGTAAAATGTAGTCGACAATGAAAATTACGTTTCTTGTTAGTTTTTAAGTAATATTTTAGTCAGATGAGAAATAGATAATGAAATCATGATTGATGTGCGATGTGACAAAACTTTTGCGAAGTGTAATTAACGTTCCTTAGTTCCCACCATGTATCATGCAGAAGTTTGGTCACATTCAGTGTTTTACAGCATTTAATTTGAATATAATTACTATAAAGTAATAACTGTTTTGTAGGAAAGGTAATCAATTTTGTCGTAACTTAACGCCACTGTTCCCTTTTATATTACAAAATTAATATTTTTATAAAATTTGTTGCCAACTAGTATGATTTAAGTATAATGGTAACATTGATATAGGTGCTATCGCATATCGATTACTCCTACAAATCAGGAAATTTGTTTTCTAATTCTATATCACGCTCTAAATTACAAAAGAAATAAAGAGATTACTCATTTTGACAGTAGAACTACAAACCAGTCAAAATAATTGAGTTCAGGTTTCACAGTTTCAAGTTTCATTGCCATGCTTTTGTCAAAGTATTTATCACAATTTGTTGAGATAAAGAATATTAATTGTATAAATCAATTGAGCATCTACTTATTTATTTAAGTATCTTCTGCAGCATATATTCATTTAGTTCTCCATTTTATTTTCAATTTATGTCTGAGTGTGCATTTAGCATCGGTAATTTTGTTTGTGCACGTGTTCTAAAAGAACAAAGCAAAGTAATATAGTTCCTTCTTTTACAAGTTGTTAGCTGAGTTTTCGCTGTTATATCTGTTTCTAATCGGGCTGTAAAGTTGCCTGAATGAGCATATTCAAACGTCACAATCTATGCTAAGGTCGAGCGAACAAAAACTGGGACGAATATTCGCTCGTCACTCTAGAGGCAACGTTCACGCAAAAATTCACTGTCACCTAATTTTTCCTTAAATACACAAACAAACAAAAACAGCTTCACAATAGATATAATACAACAACTAAAGAAAACAAATTTCCGCTAATTAACTTCGATTTAAAAACGGGAAATTGCTTATCACCCAGTGACCCTCTCGTGTCTAGCGGAGCCAGGCACTGTTTATAGATTGCCTGCAGGTTGTCGGTTGCTATAGCTTGAAAACGTTGTTCCACCTGTGTGCCACCTTCCGTCGGTTCGAAGGAGTCTCAAGGACCGTCTCCACACGGAGTCGATCGTGGTTAGCCATACGTGGTGGAAACATGGAAGAACCCTTGTTGTCGAGAATATCAAAGAATACTCGAGGAGGATCACACTTGGCTGGTGGCTGATAAGCGTAAACGATAAGTCGAGGAGTATCAGAGAGTGGACAAACGCCCGAAAGACGACGTTTCAAGGACATCGGTGATAGAGTCTTAAAGAGGGATGTATGAATGGGTGGTGTCTGCTCCTGTCGAGGTCTCGGTAGCCAGGTTAACGCTGGCTCGATTCTCGATCGTGTGATCAGTCAAGCGAGCGACGAGGATCAATGTTTGCTATATCGTCTGGCCAATTACAAGAAGAGTGGCGAGCTGATAGACGCGTACAATCAAGGTGGCCAGGCAGAGGTGGAAAAATTGATCAGGGAACAGTTTGGTGTACTGATGTACGCGGACGGCAAGGGTCAGATGATCAATCGGGCAGAGTATCTGCGCTGGAAATTCCGGGACCTGGAACAGGTCGTGCTTCCTATAGAAGCTTCCTTGTCACGATTCGATCCTCTGGCTCAATGGAACGATCACCAGGCATGCTGGCAGATGCAATACAGAGGTTCCCTCGGAGAAACCCTCTTGCATGTTCTGATCATATGCGATACCAGGTTACATACACGGCTGGCGCGTATCCTGCTCAAGTGCTTTCCACGATTGGCCATCGACGTAGTAGAGGGCGAGGAATACCTCGGTGCTAGTGCTCTACACCTGGCGATCGCGTACAATAATAACGAACTGGTGCAAGACCTCGTTGAAGTGGGTGCGATTATTTCTCAACGCGCGATCGGCAGTTTTTTCCTACCCAGAGATCAACAACGAATGAACCCGGCCAAGAATACCGATTACGAAGGATTAGCCTACTTAGGAGAGTATCCTCTTGCCTGGGCCGCCTGCTGCGCGAACGAGAGCGTTTATAACTTGCTGCTCGACTCCGGTGCGGATCCTGACGAACAGGATTCTTTTGGCAATATGATACTGCACATGGTGGTAGTTTGTGATAAACTGGTACGTGTTTTTCTATTTCAAGCTTTTTGTTAACGATGCTGAAGTTTCAAGTCTCTTGTTGACTACCACGGTTTAACTACCTACCCTGTTTTTGACCTTGCGCCGGACAGCATCAGAATTTAGCTCTTGTTACTGACGTAAATGTCTAAACCTTTGACTGCGAAGCATTTTCGAACGGAACCATTAGTATCTACAATGCGATATTTGAATGTCGGATGCAAATCATTGCGCTCAAATGCAAATCAGTTATATTACATCTATTTTACATGTAACGATAAATTTTATATTAGATCAGTTTTGTATAAAAGTAAATGTGTTATACTAATTGTAAGAAGAATTTTCAACCGTATTTATTGATAGATGCGTGAGGGTGTATATGTACGCCTTTCGCAGTAAAAGGATTAAGATCATGTCTCCATTCGTGGCTGATTGTTTATTTCAGTTTATTGAAAAAGATGATTGCAACACTCTCGTGGTTAAAATCTTAAAACATCGTAATTAGAAGTACTTCACTTATTATTTTAAAGATTATTCATTTTTGTAATGTGATGTTAATAAGTATAATTCTAGGTTTTTATAAATTGATAACAACATATATATTTATAAAATCATAAATTTTAGAAAACTATTATTTTGTTACGATAATTTGTTAAAATTGACAAAAAATATACAATTAGTGGTATATATTATAATCACATTATAATATATAATTATAAAATATTACGTGGCCATAAATGACGATATTAAACCAAATTTAATTTTCATTAGTAATTCTTTGTTTAATCATAAACCTTAAAGATCATTTACGTTACTCTATTTCAATAATTAACAATTCGTTACTAAAGGCACTGTTTATTATCGTAATTAAAAACAGCAATTTTATTGTACAGTTCTTTGTTACTGTATTTCCTTTGTACGCTTACCTTTTAGAATTTACTTTCTAACCAAGTATAAAAATATCAGGTTGTACAACTTCACCCTGTATTTTTTGAATAAGAAACCTTTGTTTAAAGTGACAACTGATACTCTTTGATTGAGGAAGATCAAAGGGTGAAGGTTCACTATCATTTCGCAAAGCTTTGTTCTAACATTTGCACCTGGGTTACTGAGTTTGTCAGGAACCATACAAAATTAATACGTGCAACCTTGTCTAACAAAATAAAATAAAATAAATTCAAATTTCAACCAAGATGTGAATCCAAATAATTTGATATTTTTTTAAATAATGTTATGATACAATTTTAATGAGAGTGTGAGTATTTAGATGATTTTATAAGACTACTTTTTTTAAGCTATTAAATGCACAATTTTTGAATACAAGAATACGAGATACCAAGGAAATTATTATTACCAGATATCAGTGAAATTATGCACAGTAAATTTCATTACCCAATATATTTTAACTGTATTATTCATATATTTTTAAATTTTAATAATATTGGACATCGTTGTATTTTTCTGAGATCAAATCCGCTTTTTGTAAATTAAGTTCATTCTTTTAAAATTTAAGTTTTTTTGTTTGGAATGGAGAATATGGTGATGGCAAGTAATATAGTGTAAAAAGACATGATGAATAATAAAATATTAATGACCAACAAGATATCGCACTTCTTACGCTTTTTGTAGGTTTACGAGGTCTGTCCCAAAAGTATCCGACCTTCTTTAATTTCTTCGCATCTGACAATTTTAGCGTCATTTGCCGGGTATGAGTATCAACTGCAAAGCTTTACGAACTCCCACGATATCGCAGTTTTCGTCGGGACGCCTTAGTTCATGTGCAACGTGCATTTCTTTACGAAGCATTTTTTACGTTCGTCGCATTCTGCTGTTGTGAAAAATGAGGGAAAGATCGGAGCAACGAATTTGCATCAAATTTTCCTTAAAACTCGAAAAAATTTGTGCGGAAACCATCGATATGATGAAGAAGGCATTTGGGGATGAGTATATGAGGAACACACAAATCAAAGAGTGGTATAAGCGGTTCAAAGATGGCCGCTCATCTGTTGATAATAACCTACGCTCTGGGCGGCCTTCCACGACAACAAGACCTAATAATATCGAACGTGTGCGACTTGCGATCAACAAAAATCGTCGATTGACTGTACGAGAACTAGAATGTGATCTTGCAATACCGAAAACTAGTTTTGGCCTCAGTTTTGGTCAAGCGGTGATTGGCTTCTTCATCACGATAACGCACCAGCGCATGCATCGAATCTTGTGCAACAATATTTGACGAAGCACAAAGTCATACAGCTCCATCAGCCTCCGTACAGTTCTGATGTAGCTTCTTGCGATTTTTGGTTGTTTCGAAGATTGAAAATGCCACTCAAAAGACACCGATTCGACGATAAAGAAACGGTCGAAACTAATACGACGAAAGCTCTAAAGGCTATTCCGAAAAACGAGTTCCAGGACTGTTTCCATAAATGGAAAGGTCGTTGGCAGAGTATTCTACAATCAATAGGGCACTACTTCGAAGGATGCCACCAGCCTGATGACGCAGGATAACACCAGCAGAGAAATATGAAGGAAGGTCGGATACTTTTGGGACAGACCTCGTA